CAGGTCACGCCAGGGCCAGGCCGCCCGGTCGTGCCAGTGCGAGGCTGCCAGTTCGCGCCAAGGCCAGGTCGCGGTTGTGCCAGGCTACCAGCTCGTGCCTGTGCCAGGCTACCAGTTCGTGACAGGGCCAAGTCACGCATGTGCCAGGCTGCCAGTTTGCACCTAGTCCAGGTCACGCTAGGGCTAGGCCTGTAGGTCGGTGCCTGGGTCAGGCCGCTAGGTGGGACACCATCAAGTTGACTAAGGCAAGTTATTGCCAAATTGATTCCGGGTGTCACCTAGTTGTTTCGAGGTGCCATGTGTCACAATATCATTGGAGGGCCAAATCCGCCCTTCATCAGTTGTTTTGAAGGGGACATCGAGAATCATGGTTATGCCAGTTCCGCCTGGCACTACTCTACAATAGCTATACTCGGTCCCACTGATTGGTCGTCCCTCCGATCCTGATTGTTGGGTGTGGTCGGTTATGCCAGTTCCGCCTGGCACTACTCGACAGTAGCTATATTCGGTCCCACCGACTGGTCAACCCATTGGGTGTGGTTGGTTATGCCAGTTACACTTGGCACTATTCGACAGTAGCTATACTCGATCCCACCGAATGGTCGGCCCTCCGATGTTGGTTGGTTATGCCACTTCTGACTCGTCAATTGAGAGAGAGAAGGGGATAGCATGGGAGAGGGGAGAGGGAAAGAGAGGAGAAAGAGATTGCACGTTTGGAAGGTCTTTGTACAAGGGATAGCATTTCCTGCAACGAAAAAGAGACGCAAATACATGCACGAAATGCTTACACGTGAGACAATTGAACTACTCACACGAGTAGATTTTAGGGGTAATCATATAAGGGCAATTTTTGGGGTTTAATATCAATAAAAGTAATATATTTAAAAAAAATTCAAAAATATGTTTACTTTTTAAAAATAATATCAATAAAGGGTAAAATCAGTGTTCATCTTCTTCTTGCCATTTATTGTCGTCGCCCGCCACCGTCGTCTGCTGCTGCCGGAGGCGGCACTAGTGGTTTCTCTATCCAACGCCGCCACTTCCCCCACCTCCGCCTTTGCCTCCGGCAACATTGCCAAAGGTGGCGACGGCGGCACTGGTGGCCATTCCTCTACCCGTTGCCACCTCCGGCAATGTTGCCAGATGTGGAGGCGGAGGTGGGCGGAGGCGGCAATAGACAATAGTAGATGGTGGTGGCAGGCAGCGGCTCTGATGAACAAAGGGCAAAAAGAAAAAGATGAATAGTACTTTTACCCTTTATTGATATTATTTTTAAAAAGTTAATCTATTTTTGAATTTTTTTTAATTATATTACTTTTATTAATATTAAACCCCAAAATTTGTCCTTGTATGATAAAAGCCCTAGATTTTATTTACTGCAAGGAGAAAACACACATTCCCTAATAATATATATAGCGGGCATGCCCTTACATTGCAGGGGCTAATGATAAATGAAAGTGTAACCTAAAGGAGATCATACTTAATTTTAAACAAAAATAACTGTCAAACATGAAATTAGATGTTATAAAAATAAGGGAAAATTTGCAGTAGGTATTTAGTATTCAAATCTTAAAGTATAACAATTTAATAGCTGAACTTTGACAATGAAACAATCATGTACGATTTAAAACTTTTGAAAATATCAAAATTACCCTTATAAATAAAATATGCTATTCATTCTTTCTCAACAAAATGAAACAGAATCCAAACGGTTCACCGCTGGCTACTTCGCTCTGGTGGATGCGTCGGATCCCGTGTAGGTGAGCACAGAGGCGGAGAACAGAACTTTTGCTTTTTAATGCTGGAAGTAGTGGTATCTTCTATGCGTCGGATTCTGTCGGATCAAATCCTGCACCATCTCGTATTCTCTCTGCAACAACAAAAAAATGCCATAAAACACGAGCACAGAGGCAGAGCAGAACAGAACACGGAACCCATGAAATGAAACACAGAGTTAAGAAACCCAACTTTTGCTTTTTAATGCTCTTCTCCCTCTCCTTTTCCCTCTCTTCACATCTATCTATCTCTCTCTACTTTATTTTTTCTGAAAATTCGACCACCCTTTTCTCCTTTCTTTTTAATTTGTTTTGTGAGGATGATTATTTATTACATTATTATTTCGGGGGAGTGGGGGGACTTCGGTACGAGTTCCACATAATGATTTACCGGTGAAATGGATGGCTCATAATAACAGTAATTGCAGTAAGAACAACAACGACAATAACAACAAGGGATGACGCAGGCAATGGAAACCGGAGCTGGCTATGCAAGTATCGGGTGATCGCTAGTTTCTAGCGAAGAACACCGAATTCTCTAAGAGAGAGAAAAGGTGAAGAAAATTCAAAGAAGAGAATTTAAAGAAATTCTAAAATTATAAAGTATGAATTGATGAATAATTCTGGGAAAATAACAGTATTTATAATACATTGAGAAATTGTAAAAGAACTAGGAAAGAACATGAATCTTGATCTTGATCTTGATCCTCTTGGGCTATCTTGATAAAGTCGAACCCTCTTGGAATTCTTGGGCTTGATCTTCCACCGTCCGATCTCCCTAGCTCTCCTTATGCATGAATGTGGGAGTCTTGGATTTCTTGATGCTTCTTGGAGTCTTTGTTGGATCTTGATTGGAGTCTTGAATTCCTACTAATCTTGGAAGTCTTGCCTTATCATTCTTGGACCTTATCTTGACTTGCCCTTATCCTAGGAGCTGCCGCCCCTAGGGTGTGATGGGCCTTGTGATGGGCCTCCATCATTCTCCCCCACTTGGAGAGAACTCCACCTCGAGTCGTGGCTAGGATATGCGAGGATCGTCTCTGGTAGGTAGCGATGAAAGTCAGCAAGTATTAAAGCACTGGGAAATTGTGTAGTATCTTCCCTTGATAAATTGTTAATATAGATTGCAGACGCTCTCTTATCACATATACGGTAGGCTGACCAACATGGATGAAGTGTTTTGGCCGCTTGCTTAACATCAATTCCCTTCTTCGATTTTGTCATCCAATAAAGAGCTTGTTTCTGATATGGCCTTAGATCACACATGAGTGTTTTTGGCATCGGCCCCAAGTAATGATCCCGAATTTTCTGGAAGGTTCCCCTCCTTACAACAGGAAGCTCAAGCGCTCCAATCGCATTCACCTTTCGGGAACTAACATATCCTGCATCAACGAAAGATCGATCCAAACAATCGCAACACTCATTCAGCACTTCATCGCTGGCCTCACTACTCAGCTCCCAGAAAATGACGTAGTGTCCAGGGTCCGTGGACACATCCACATGGCTGGTGAAGTCGATCGCCTCAACCTTTGTCTTCTTCATTAACAGCTTCCCACCTGCTTCAACTGCTAGCTGCAAATCTTTCTCTGTGTTCTTGTCTATGTTAATGCTTAGTAGCAAATTCCTCCAGCATACAAATGGAAGCTCCGGGGTGGAGTTATGGAATCCCATCACTTTAACCACGTCCCCTAGCCTGTACCGGTATAGACCTGCAAAGTTGGTGACGATGATCTCATACTCTTCCCCAATCTTCACTTGAGTCGGACCGATCGGTTCTGACTCTGCGTAAGAGTAGGTAGCAGCGGTCTTATTCTGTTGCTGAATACACTGGTGAATCTCATCATTTTTTGGACCTTTTGCATATGTATATTTTGTGATAAGGTAGCTTTAGGATGAAATGCTCAATTGTCATTGCATTCAACAAGTGGCCACCCACATTTATTGTTGCCTTCCGCATCATTGCAACGATCATATGGGGGCTCTCCGGTATCCCATCCTCTAGGAACGCATTCATCATGCGTGAATTATAGATGTTGATCCAGAATGCAAGCTTCTGCTGATGAGTCAGACCATCTAGGTTGACAGATACAAACTTCCCAAGAAGCGGCTTCAGTCTCCGGATCAGAAACAAAGAGTTTGTTCTTCGATTTGGATCAATTGAACTAGCTTCGATTACAAACAGGTATTTGTATGGACCAATATCCCTCTTTCCAAATTCTGAACAAATGCCATAAGGATCTCTGAACTCTGGTTCTTCATATGTTTCATTAGATGTTAAGGAAGACAACATATCGGGTTCCGTTCCCCTGTTCTTCATCCTGCTCATCCTCAGGAAAATGCTCGACAGGCACATCAAAATTTCTTCTGAGATTTTGTTAGGACCATTACTCTCTCCTTCTGGTGCTGTTTCTTCAGGAACAACTGATGCGCTTTGTTCTTCTGTGTCTTGTTCTATGGCTCCACATTCTAGCTGTAGTTTCAGAGGATCCAAACGCTTCTCTACTGATCCATTCTCAATGGGGGGCCTCTTCACTGGGGTTCTGATTTTTGTGTCTCTATCTTTTGGGGATTGCCTGTTGTTCTTTGACGAATTAGTGCAGGACTGATTCTCTTTTCCCCGCGCATCTTCTGAAAAAGCTGATGAAGGATGAGCTTTCTTCGAGGGTTGTTTCCCATTTGAGGGCCGAATAGAAGGATGTGCTGTTCGATCGGAAATAGGCTCAAAGGCCAACCGGGTCGAAGCCGACGAATTGCCAGGAATAAAAGGTAGAATCCTTGCGGTGGATGTCTGACGTAACCACGACTTAAACCCAGAAATCGATGTTGCACTATCAAGAGGAACGTGGTACAGACCGTTACCGGGAATAACTGGAGCACCACCAAGTTCGAAATCATCATCACAGTTGTCGTCAAGAATTGGACGTCGGGACGCAGTAATGACGGGTGGTCTATCATGGTCGTCTCCTTCGATCTGTTGTGGATTTTCCCGGTTCCGTGGAACAACCTCTCGTAACAAGGTTCGCAGTTGCTCAGTCACCTCTGCCAACTGATGTTCGATGTTATGTGTGGCCGTGCATTGTTCTTCAATCACTCTCCAAACAGCTGGGAACCCTTGATCTCTGTCACGGGGTGGGTTGCGACTGATACCGTCTTGGTTGGCTATCTGACTGGGTGAACTCCCTGCTCTGATACCACCTGACGCAGCGTGGAAGCAATGGAAACTGGAGCTGGCTATGCAAGCACCGAGCGATCGCTAGCTTCTAGCGAAGAACACTGAATTCTCTAAGAGAGAGAAAAGGTGGCGAAAACTCAAAGAAGAGAACTTGAAGAAATTATGAAATTATGAAATTATGAAGTATGATTTGATGAATAATTCTGGGAAAACAGCAGCATTTATAATACATTGAGAAATTGTAAAAGAATTAGGAAAGAACATGAATCTTGATCCTCTTAGACTGTCTTGATAAGGTCGAACCCTCTTGGAATTCTTGGGCTTGATCTTCCACCGTCCGATCTCCCTGTCTCTCCTTATGCATGTATCTGGGAGTCTTAGATTTCTTGATGCTTCTTGGAATCTTTGTTGGATCTTGATTAGAGTCTTGAATTCCTGTTAATCTTGAAAGTCTTGCCTTATCATTCTTGGACCTTGACTTGCCCTTATCCTAGGAACTACCGCCCCTAGGGTGCGATGGGCCTTGTGATGGGCCTCCATCAAGGAAGAAAAACAAGTTTTCCTTTTCCATGATTTTCTAGGCATGAACTGAAACCGCTGCTGATCCTGGTCAGAGGCCACAGTGTTCGCGCCGGGGTCCAACAAAGAGGCGAAGTAGTGGTATCTTTCATTTCAGCAGCGTTTGATCCATCTGCACCATCTCGTCGGGTTGGCTTGTGGTTTCGGGATCCCGTAGAGGAGAAGAGAAGGAGTGCCGCTGCTGTTCAACGAAGGAGACGGTGAACAGTTGCAGTGAACAGTTTATCGTCAGATAGTGGTTGATCCAGGGAGTGCAGTACCTGATTTCAGCAGGTACCTAATAGCTGTTCAGTACCTGATGTGGTTGATCCAGGGAGTGCAGATTTCAGCAGCGGTTTGATCCTGGTTGGGCTCATCATGAATTAGGTTGGGGTGGCTGGTGGTTTCGGGATCCCGTAAAGGAGAAGAGAAGGAGTGCCGCCGCTGTTCAACGAAGGAGACGATGAACAGTTGCGGTGAACAGTCATCGTCAGGTAGTGGTTGGTCCAGGGAGTGCAGTACCTGATTTCAGGAGGTACCTAATAGCTGTTCAGTTCTTGATGTGGTTGATCCAGGGAGTGCAGATTTCAGCAGCGGTTTGATCCATTCTCTAGATGGTGCAGGAGAGACTTGCTGGTTGGGGTGTTCGACGATAGTGGTTTCTGCGTGTAGGCGAGCATTCTCGAGAGGGACAGAAGCGCTTTGAGATGTCCATTGCGTTAGGGGGAGTTGCGTATAGTGAAAGGCAGGGCGTCGATTTTGATATCGTTGCGTATATTGATTGCTCATTTTGAAAGCATAAAGAAAATTAGATGAGATTTAAGGAATATTTGTGTCTTTTCTACAACACTTGATCGTGAGTTAATGCCAGGTATTAGATTGTTGCAAAATAAAGGTTGGGTATCACTCGAAAAGTAGACTTATCTATCAGTTTGACGTCAATGGTGCCGTGAAGAAGAATTAAATTGGGCAAGAATAAACTTGAGTCATCATCCTCAAACATATGCTTTAATTGGATGATGGTGGAAAAATTATAGTAACAAACACATAAATCATAATTACAGAAAAAAATCAAAGTGGGGACAAATAATGAAAATCCAATGAGAAAGTTGCTAGGACTTGTCAACTCAAATATCCAATTTGCCAGGTAAAACAATTGAAATTCTACTAAAAACCCTATTATAAGCAAGCATGACTGATGTTGATTGAAACTCATATATAAGTGGTCGCTGTTTTTGTTCTTTCTGTGGCTAAGAGTGGTTGGGCCTTGAGTTAAGTGAAACCCATACGCTTCCGGCTTTCGGTAGTAGTCCCATATTCCAATTATATCCACTCTTGGACTGTTTCTCTAGCCATGGCCCCAAGCCAAGTCTTGAGAATTGAGATGCCTTAAAAAAGTATTGATTTTGAATAGAGATTTAGAATTGGAGTTGGTGGGTTGGTGGACCTCCTCTCAATACTGTAACCAAAGGCCAATACCATTGCAATGTGATTGGTCTAGGCTTGTAAACACAGACTGAAGGTGGTAGGGAGTAGGAAGTAGGGACAAGCATCATGTAATAAATAAAGGCGTAAATAATATTAGAATTGCAAAAGAAAAAGGGATTTTGCCTTAAATATCAATAAAAGATAATGTTTTTATAAAATATTTAAAATAAGATAACTTTTTTTTGAAAAATATGAAAGAAGGGCAATAATACTGTTCATCGTCTTCCTCTTCCCGTGTGATTTTTTAATCGATGATGATTCATCTTCAGCTTTCATCGACTGCAACAGCGATCGATCAGGTGAATTTCCGGCCACCTCTGCGCATAGCCGTTGCCTTCTGGTGGCTTGCGCTTCTTGGAACCGGTGATCTGATTATCAGCTCGTCTCCGATCTAGAATCGGGCTTAGAAACCCTTATATTATAAATCACAAACCTGGTTGTACTCGAATTAGGGGCCGCAGCCACAGCGTCGCTGATCGTCGTGAAGTTGCCACTTCCGTCTTTAGCCACCACCAAATCAAACTTCGTCGTGTTGGTCGATGCTTGCAGAAGCTTTCCATCTCTAGGCGACACCCATCTCAGAAACCCACTCACATTCTGCCATACTCTGGGAACACCTCAGCCTTGGAGCTTCTGTTCGACTTTGGGATCTTCAGCATGGCGAGAGAATTACTGACCGAGTGGCTTATGTTGTACAAGCCTTGCTTGATCTCTTCTCTTACGTTGCCCTTACTGTGAGCGAATCCATCAAGACAGGTGTATTGATTCGTCATTGCATCACTTAACAGAGTTCCCAAGTCATTATAGTGCCTCGAAGGTGAGTTTTCGGTGACAGATCGGACAGAGCGCTTTTAAGATCAGCGACAGTCTAGTCTAAAAGCTCGAGACAGTCATCCAAAGCCATCTCTTGAAGCGGGTCGAGTGCTCTGCGCTTCATTCGGATGCCAGTGCAGTTAGAAGCAGATGTTCTGAGTTCATTGACTGTGTGCTGGACTGTAGCGGAGATGATGTCTGGGATTGTTTTCGAAGCGAGGTCGGGGAGAGAAGAGACAATTGATACACAGAGTTCTGGATATAAGGTACCTTCACAAGCTGAATGGGCGATCTAAAGAAGTTTGTGAAGGTGCAATGGTGGGATTTTGATGGACTTTGGTTCCTTTTTGATCGGATTTACTGAGGAGAGTAGTATTAGTAAAAGGGTTGAGAGGGTTAAGAGAAGTGGCAGCAGCACTTTTGTTATGGTTTTGAGATAGAAGATGGTGCTTCAGTCTTCGGTCTTAAGAAAAGATTGGTTAGACTCTTTCACTGTGGTGTATGGATTAATATTGTTGGAGAGGGGTTTAATTAATGGGGTAAGTTTCCTTAGAACATCACCGATTAATATTTTCCGTAAAAAGTTATTCTATTTTTACTATTTTATAAAAATATTATTTTTTATTGATAATTAGGGCAAAAAGTTACAGATAAGAAACCCAAAGAAAAAAAGAGAGTACAAGCACCGAGTCACCGACTAAAGCCACAAAATCAAGTTGCTCGATCCCCCAAATCAACCCGTACCCCTCCGATGACCACTTCTCCAGCTGTTGGGACCAGCGTCACCACTAACTTCTCAGACTCCTCAGCACTGATCTCCTTCATTATGCCCGTCAACCCAAGCTCCAAGCGTCCAACTCCGATGAGATTGCGGGCCACATCCACCACCAAGCTCCCCGCAAACGCACCCAAATCAGGACCAACGCAGGAGTCCCCTTGTGGCTTCGCAACATAGATGTCCAACCTCACCGCTCCATCCTTGGGAATATCGATGCCATACACCACTAAGGTCTCCGTCCGCTTGGACTTGCCCGAAGGGGGCATCTTGGGCCTCTCGATCAATGCTCGTATCGCCGTGTCCAGTAGCCGTGGCTCCGACCCAAACTCGGAGACTTGCTGCAGCCGGGATGCTCCTCCATTATTCTTCTTGTCCGAGCTTCGTTTGGGGCCTTCAATGGCCATCATGCCCAGGCTAAAAAAGCCGGCAACCACAGCACTTACACCCACGAAGGAGATGAGAATGCTTCGCCTATCCATGATCCCATGGTCGTCTCCGACTGAGACTCCACCTTGTTGTTGTCTACACAACGTATAACATGATTGATTTTTCTTTACAGGAACTGTGTACAGCCTCGGCCTTGTTGCCAGGCGCTGGATGGAGATGGAGTGACAGAGGAAAGGCGATGCACAGGTGGAAAAGGATCCCGATCTGGGGTTGATGGTTGTTTGAAGTGAAAGAGACATTGACATTGAATCCCTGATTGAGAAATCGAGCGGAAGAGAGAGAGAGAGAGTCATAATGCGATATAAAAATATTTAAATGTAGCGTAGCATACTAGCTTATAAAAAATGTACGATGTTTATTTTTTTTATTTTTTAGGATAGTAGGGTTTGTGATAAAGATTCCTATGAATCCGCCGTTACAATATTTTTTAATTCTTATACTACCCTTCTAATAACAATAACAAGGTTAAAGGGCATTTGTGCCATTTAAATACGCTATAACAGAAAAGCAAATTACAGATCAACAGAGACGGCAAACAAATTTCTTGTTCTTGACCATTGTGTTTTGTTTTCAAGACGAGAAATTCTTAACTCTTGAGTTGCCAAATATTAAGAAAACAAAAAAACGTAAATCGATTCTTGTTGTTGAATTAAAAGAGAGAGTGAGAGCAATTATTCAAGGAGAATAAGTAAAAATTTCTATATTGTAATTCTCGAAGAAATTAACGAAGAAAACTAAAAATGCTTCCGGCGAGAGATACAAGGTCGGAATAACGTCGGCGATAGATTACCAAGAAAGATAACCTCGGCGGTGAAACTACAGCAATAGAGGATCCGGGCCTGGATCTCCGCAGCGACGGCACCCCAGTCTTGGGTCCCGTGTCTAAGAACGGCGCCTCCGAGGAGCTCCTCCCATGTACCCCACCTCATCATCGTCATCATCTCCGTCTCCGAAATCCTATCACAGTCCTTCACCTTCACGCGCACTTTTCTTTTCCTCCCAATCAAACCTTTATTTCTTCGACGCTGCTCCGTTCCTATCAAGAAAAAGCCCCTTCTAGAAAGCCACCTCTGAGACGCTCACGGGAACAAAGATAGGAGAGACGAAAACCGCTCCTGGAATGGTGTTCAGTGGTATTGGGAATGAAGGAGAAGATCTTAGCGTGGTTTTTTGGATGAAAAGAGGCGATTTCGGGTTTTCACTCTATTTTTGGGTTTTTAATCAAGTAGACAGAGAGATAGAAAGAATAGAAACGTGAGACTCGAAGAAGGGGTTGACGTCTCGCCCCTTCCGTCGCTCCAGGCAATGGAGCAGATCCTAGATACAGTCTCTCTCGCCCCCATTCCCTCACGCCCCTGTGATAACGTTGTCGTGCAAGCTAAGCTTTTTAAGAGCTTGAAGCTGAATGATTTTCTCGGTGATACGGGCAGACATTTGTTGTTGGACTGTCAACCATTGCAGTTTTTCATGATCGCGACATCGTTGGCGATAGATATAGAGACGAGATTGAAGACGGAGAAGAGAAGAAAGAAGATGAGAAATGAGTTCCCTCCGTGAGTTGGGAGAGAGAGAACGAGAGAGCACTGTGAGAGAGGGGAAAAGAAGAGAGAGGAAAAATAATAGGTTAAAATTTGGTGGGATATTTTGATAATTTAATAAATTCCGTTATCTGAATTAACGGTCGTAGGGTTTTTGTCTTTATGATTATAGTAAGGGGGTTTTGTCGCAAAATAAAGTACAAGAGGGTCTTTGTCACAGACCACATAGTATTGGGAGGTCTTTATACTTTACCCTTATTTTTACGAGAGAAAGGCCCGCTATCACATGGCAAAACCAATTATACACAGAATTTATAATGAGCATGGTTGTTGGCAAACCTAGAGCCGAGGACAGCGATGTAATTTTCTAGGTCCGATGGCTGGGGTCCTGTTTGCTAAGATGTTAGAGGCTTATGAATATTTCAAGGGTGAGGACTACGAGTAAGTTAAGATCACCATGTGGCGCTTGAATTTGGATATGAAAACTTAAAAAGATATTAAATGTGTCTGAAATTTAAAGAGGTATAGATGATTTTTAATTTTTTAGAGGATATGAATTGATAAGTTTGTTTGTATTGGATCAACTCTTTATCATATGAAATTTACTGATTTTATTATTTTACTCATAAAACAAATTATTTGAAAATGTTGAATTCAATTTACATTATCTCAGAAAAAATAATTTTCAACCTTAAAATAATATTGAAACAATACAAATAAAAAATTAATAATTACTAATTAATAAATGAAACAATTAAAATAAAAAAATAATTAATAACTATAAAAATATTAAAATAATTAATAATTTACACAAATAAAAATTAAAATAATTTTTATAAATTAATGAAATAATTAAAAATTATTGGTTAATAAAAATAATTAATAATTAATCAATAACACAAGTAAATTTGATAAAAAATAATTAATGTTTAATAAAAAATATTAAAATAATTTATAATTAATAAAAATAATTTATAATTAAATATTTTTACTCATCAAACCACCGCTGTTGCATGTTGCAGTGGTGTTGAAAACACAAGAGAGAGAGAGAGAAGACATGGGGAGAGAGAGAACCGCCATTGCGGTGGTGGGAAGACGAGAGGGAGAAAGAGAGAGAGAGAGAGAGAGAGAGAGAGAGAGAGAAGACAGGGGGGGAGAGAGAGAGTCACCGCTGCAAGTTGTAGTAGTGGTGGCGGGAATACAGGGCGAAGAAAGAGAGCGAGAGAAGATAGGGGGAGAGAGAGAGAGTTGCCGCTACAAGTTGTAGCGGTAGTGGTGGGAATACAGGGCGAAGAGAGGGAGAGAGAGAGAGAGAGAGGTCGAATGTTTAGGTTTTCTGGGTTTGGGGTTATCAGGGGTAACTTGCGTCATTTCCAAAATATGGTAGGGATATTTTAGACTATGCACCGCTTTGAAAAACGTCTGAGCGCGTTAAGAGCCGACCCAAGGTCTATTATTTTTAGATATGAAAATAAGATTCAAACCAATTTTAAGAGGTAAAACCAAACAAAGGGTGAGGTCTGAAAAGTTGCATTTTTAGATTTAGACCTCTGAAAAGTGCAATCAAACGACACCTAAGTGATACTCGAGTATGTGTGTTGTATCTTTAGCTATAGTGTCTCTTTTATAGTTGAAGTTGCCTAGGTGGGAGTAATGAACAATAAGTAATTGTCTTGTAGATTGCGGTCACGTAGGGGGACTAAGAGAATCGTCGGTTGACCATGACCCCTTAATTAGCAACTCAGGAGTAAATGCGCCAAGATTGTGCACCCACATTAAATGCTTTGCAACCGTTAAGGGTGAGGGTTACCTCGTTGCCCTTGGGAGATTGTCATCTCTCAGAAATACCCTTGGCCGATGCTACATGTTAGGGTCTAGTGGTCAACCTCGGTTTCCTCTTCGTCGGTCGGCCCCTCGACCTCCTCAACATCTACCACCATGGGAAGCATTGGTGCATTCCCTAGGGCGTCTCCCCTTAAAGGCCTGGTACAGGGATGTATAGGGACGTCACCCCTCGGCCTAGTGGATCCGATAATCTCGATCGTGGAGTCAACACTCTATTGATCACGCTCAGCCTCACGAATCGTGACTCTTTCTTGCAGAACCTCCACACTAGAAGTTTGAGAGGTTCCCTCGGAACTACTACTACTACTACTCTCGCTTTTGCTGCTGTTGGGAGTAGAGTGTTAGACAATTTTGTATGCCCTTATCTTCAATCGGAATGATGTATTTTATGAGTTTATTGTAAATGAATAAAAGTGCATATTTGATTCATGTTCCCTTGGTATGTTTCTGTGTAATACCCTTAAACTGGACACTTAATGAGACTCGTGTTAGTTTAGAATGTTCACA